TTGTTTTTAATAGAGTTGATGAAGTTTAAGCAGAGAGGACTTTTGAGGCAATTTGGGTTAGATCATTTTTTGTCTGAAAGAGATTGCTACTGTTTCCATATTTTCTTTGCATAATTAGTGCAATAACCCTAGGTTTTTCATAAGGACAATAATTGGTACATTATTTAGTTCAATACACTTCATAATATATTTATTAATAAATTATTATTTTTAAGTTTAAATTTAAAGTGAAAAAATTTTCAAATGCAAAATTTAATAATTAATTAAGTCAGTGAGTGTTGGTAAGTGTATTGAATTAGATACTGTATCGATTTGTTTTTTTACATAAACTTTTTTGATGTAGGGTTTTGCATAAACTATATATATTGACTAATTAGTCATGATCAGGGAAGCAAGTTGTATCATTTGTTACAATTCAGCATAATTTGTGCAATAATCCTAGGTTTTGCATAAACTTTTTTGATGTTGGGTTTTGCATAAACTTTATATATTGACTAATTAACCATGATCGCAGAAGCAATTTGTTTCATTTGTTACAATTCACAGGTAGAACCTCTGTTATGATTTGATATAAGGGTTAGAATATTTATTGTACTCAGAATCAATAAAAATTTATGTTACTTACAAAAATTATGAATTGGCCAAAAAACCTAAAGAACATAAAATTTGAACAAGAATTTGCTACCCCTCCTTGTCTCTCGTGCTCCCTATATTCCTTAATTTGTCTCTCTTTGTATCTCCTCCTTTCTTTCTAAATATATCTCTCTTGATTAAAAGTTCTTACTATTGAGTGGGAAGAAAAATAATTGGTATATTACTCAATTTGATACACTTTTTAATGCTCACTTAGTTTAATTATTAAAATATAATTTTAAACACAGTTAATTTAATTGTTTTTTACATGTTATATTTATGACTAAATATTTAAATTTGTTTGCTTTTGATTTTCAACTAAGAAATAATAATTTTTATAAGTGTATTATACAGTATATTAAATTAAAATGTGCACCAATCATTATTCTTAAGTGAAATTATTTATCTTTTGGATCATCTTTCCAAAACAAAATGGCTAATTTGATCTTTATATCACATTTTTGCAATCTTCAAGAATATCTTGTATATATATTGTCTTTTACATTGCTTTTCAAAAGGATTAGCTATAGCAAGAAATTTGAAGCATTAATAGGATTGCTCTTTAGAATATAAAACCAAATTTCTCTGTAGCATTTCATTCATTTCTACATTCATAGTTGATAGCTTTGACAATATAGTTCCTCTCGTCATTGTCCTAATTCATCCACTAACATTCATTTTTTTCAAAACAAGGCAAATGACTCAATTTGTGGGCAGAAAGGGAGTGTGCAATGAAGTTACATAAATATAAACTCTCACCAATGAGTGAAGAAATCTTTTACATTTAATATTTAGTCAACTGACTTAAAAGCCTGTCTTGGCTTTATTGACATTCAATACTTTCACTGTTTTGCAATAGAAAATAATTTGTGTATATTTTAATTTAACATATTTCATAATACACTTATTAAGAAATTATTATTTTTAAATTTTAATTCAAAATGAAAAAAACTTCACTTTTAAAATTTAATAATTAAATTAATGAGTATTAATAAGTATATTAAACTAAGAGGTCTATTAATTATTACCTTTTTGCAATGCAACAACCACACCTCCTCTCTTCTTCCCCGGACTATGGTTTTCTTTATCTTTCTAGCTAGGGGTATCTCTTCTTCCAGCTCACAAGCACTTAATTACTTTGGAACATGAATGTAAGGTGGTCTCAAACCAGAGGTGGAGATAGGCCTGGCCTTATCTTTATACCATTAAATATAATAGGGATGTTTAGCAATTTTTCTTTAAAAAATTCTTGATTTAACTATTTTGCTTCATAATTATTTTCAAACCATAAGTTATGTTCCTATAAATCTTTTATAATTAATGTTTACATGTGAAGAATATTTTAAATTTTCTTTTGCTAATGTAATTTGCATAGTTTCTATAAGACTAGACTTAAATTAACTTGATTTTTAGTTTCCAAAAATCTTAAGATTCTAAAATATTTGTAAAAGAAATTTGTAAAACAATGCTGATTTTATCTTTCATCAAAACATTGTGATCGATTTCTTTAATCAAGAAAAAAAAAAACTTAGTGATTTTGGGTCTACTCCTATTATTCAGAGAAGGTCATTTACTTGTTAGTTTTGAATTGAATAAATTCTATAAAATTCCGTAAGGAATTGATTCTTGCTTTTTAATTTACTAATAATGTTCAATGAACGCAAAAGCATGCTTGATTTTTGAGGTGAAACAATATATTTTGGGAGCAAGATGCTTCCTTTTTTATGGAAACATGAATATTTCATTAATAGAAAGCGTCACAGATCCAATGCTATAAACATATAAGACCATTCCAAACTGATACACAGATCAAGGAGAAAGGACAACAAATGAAGAACTGGTTACATAACCACCTTCACTGGACCATGTTTATTAGAAAAACTGACAAAAGGGAAAAAAAGGAAAACAGAGCATGCACACAGGCACTACCTGCCGGGGAAAACCCAACATCCATGGAGAGAAATGCTTTCTAAATAGCAACACTGTGGAGCACCACTGTCTCAAGTGTGAGCCCAGGTCCAAACCCCAAAAGCACACCCCACTCGTGTCCTTCCCCGGTCGTTTTGACACCATTTTCAGCTGACTTCTTCCTCATGTAATCCATGACGAATAGCACAGATGCACTTGACATGTTTCCATAGTCAGACAAACTTTGTCTTGCAGCCTGGAGCTTTTCAGGCTTAAGACCCAACTTGGTCTCCATTTGGTCCAATATAGCTCGACCACCTGGGTGTGGAATCCAGAAAATGGAGTTCCAATCTGTGATGCCTAAAGGTTCGAATGCCTTCACTAGGCCCTTCTCAATATTGTTGCAAATTATCTTTGGGACATTCTTGCTAAGGTGGAATATAAGCCCTGCTTCTTGGAGATATCCCATAATAGCTCCTTCACTATCCGGTAAGATATTTTGGGTTGCTGATACTAATTCGAACAATGGTTTTTCGACCCCAGGTATTGGGTCAGAACCAATAACAACAGCTGCCGAACCATCACCAAAAATTGCCTGACCCACTAAGTTGTCCAAGTGTGTCTCACTCGGACCATGAAACGTGATCACACTTAGCTCTGCAGAGACAACAAGAACACGAGCCCCCTTGTTGTTCTCTGCCAGGTCTTTGGCCACGCGAAGCACAGCGCCACCAGCAAAACACCCTATGTGATAAATCATGACCCGCTTCACTGATGGTTGCAGACCTAATAGCTTGATTAGCTGATGGTCAATTCCGGGCATTTCTACGCCACTGGTCGAGCAGAAGACAAGGTGGGTGATTTTGGACAAGGGCTGGCCCCATTCCTTGAGGGCTTTGAGTGCTGACTCCTTGGCCAACTTGGGTGTCTCTTCAACGACAATCTTTTGCCTAACATTTAGGGAAGTTGCCTTGTATTCACAAATATTAGGGTTCTCCTTAAGTATATCTTCTGTGAAGTACATGTAACGCTTCTCGACCGCAGATCCCTGACCTGAAATTCAAAACAAGCATCAAAGACGAGCAATTCTGCTGTGCACTCCGCACCTCATTGGTCTAGAGTGTGATTTATCTTAAACTAAAAAAAAAAAAAAATTGTCTGCGCCAATAAGGCGCGGAAATGCATGAAGCCCACGCACAATGTCCATAGCATTTCTCCAAAGATAAAATTGGAAACAAAATGCAAGGACAAAATTTAGATTAACGACATGGTAAAGCACAGTTGACTTGGACAGCCTCTTAGTCATGTCATGTTGTAATACATTTTCAAGGCCTATTTTCCATGCATAGGCATGTTAAGAAACATGAGTGGGAAAGGTAACAAAAATAACGCAGTAGAAGGAAAGTCAAACGTACAAATGCGCTGAAATTTCTTCTTGAGGTCCATCTTGTGCTCACTGTTAGTGATGCGGAAAAAGTAGTCCGCGTAGGTACTTTGGTAGAACACGTTGGGAGGGTTTGCAGTGCCAATGGCTAAGATGGTGGCGGGGCCCTCAGCACGTTGCACATTGCGGACTTCATCGACCGTCACCATTGTTTTTCAGAAGAAAAACCTGCAAGGATTGATAAAGGTGATAAATTAATGCTGGATGATTTAGTATATATGTGATAAAGGGAGAGGGCAGGTGTAATTTATTGTTCTAACAAATGGATTGAGATTTCAGTTAGCACACCGATGAGATTAAGAAATTAATAAAAGTAATAATAAATTAAGTAATTATGAAGTTTAGAATCATAATTTTATGTTCTTTTGGCAAGAAAAATTTACTTTTGGAAGACATATGGTAGTTAGTCAATTCTTACACATAGAGCAGTTAATAACTTGAATTGAGCTCAATCCCCCCCCCCCTTTTTTTTTAGACTTATATTTGATTAGTTCTATAAGTATATGTAAACTGTTCAATTTACAAATACTGAAAAAAAATTTCTACTATTAATATCTACTATTAAATGATAAGTGTAACTTGCTAAAATTATTTACACTAAAATGAGAGTAAAGAAATTTAAACCTTGCATTTCATCAAGGTTTTCCTCACTTTTTATCACTTAAGCTTGAGCAAACCTCAACGGGTTCAATTTAGCCTCAATTTGAAGCTAGCGCTCAATAAAAGCTCACGAGCTATTTAATCATCTTTAAAAAAAAAACGAAAAAACAAAAAACAAAAGAAAAGAAGAGAGCACCAAACACACCCAAAACAACTCTCCCTATGTTTTCTATTACTTGATTGCCAAACAAAATTTTTCTCTTACTTACTTGACCTTTTTTTCTTGACTATAGCTAGCTGAAGCTCATACTTCAAATGTTGAAACTCGGCATGTTATATAGGGGCTCCAAGCCAAGTGCCATCTAACCTTCAAAGTGAAGAGTGAAATGTTTTATTCATATGGCCTCATCTACCAGCCAGGTTTTTGTGAACCACCTAACCTACAGCGTGAGTTGCCAGTAAACATGGTTATGGCTCGATAAAGAAGAAGAATATCATGTCAAAAAACTTGCCTTTTACTCTAGGCACAATTCACAAATGAGTGCAGAACGGAAGTGGTTATAACCGCACGTCATATTGTCAAGATTATATAAATTTTGTTTAGTTTTATTGATATTTTATTAATTTATAAATTTTTTAAGTAATTAGTTACGATGCATGTAAATATTTATTTGTAAACTAACTTTAATATGTTAAATAATAAATATAAGTTATTTTATCAGTTATTAGTTATATATTATTTTTAATATTTAAACCAAACAAAATTAATATTTTAAAAACAATATCGTGAAACCTTAACAAAATTATGTGTGGCCATAATCATACTCTAGATTAACACCGATCATATAAGTCAAAGCATTTTTTGTCCATAAACAATTAGTTATAGTTTTTGAAAACATTATTTTATATATTAATTGGATGTTGATTGAAATATAATTTAATTCAACATAAATGGTCCTTCAATATGACAATGACATGGCACTAAGTTGGCATGAGTTAACGGCTTATGGACGAACATGACTAACTATTGTCAATTTTGGGCTGAAACCCTCAAAGACAACAAGTTCAAAGGTTAAATAATAGACATTATTTGTTGAGGAGCTAAACTCTCAATGATGACAAGTTGGAGGGGTGCACAGGGTTAAGCCACAATAACACTTTATGCTGTAGACTATAACCATGCCGAGATCAACAAAAGCTGATCGCAACTTTAAAATGCAAAAGGATCAAAATCAAATTGGTGAGTTTTATAACACGTGGCAAATGGACCAGATGTACGCTAGAATACAGGCCAGAAGAAATTTAAAAGAAAAAAAAAAAAAAAAACATGTGGAAATCGTGCACCGCTTGAGACTTGAGACATGATTAGCAATGTAGTCTGCTTTCATTCACTTGCGGAGACCATTAATTAATGAGACAGGGAAAAACTGGCTTTTTGCATGATTGGCCTTAAAGATTCTGGATAGCTTCTTTTACATTATATAGTTCTTGATGTAATTAATTTGGTAATCAACTATGATTATTTAGAAGAAAAAATTAACGTTAAATCTCCAATTTGGTTCTTGAATTATTGTACGGACTCCTGATTTGATCCTTACTATTTATCAATTTACCCTAAATTGGTCATTCAGTATAAAAACCAACTGATGTGTCTTGTTATTAACGTGACACATGACTATTAAGTTACTGTTTTTCATCGTTAAGTTATTGTTTTTCGTTGTTAAGTAACGAACACGTCAACTTTTTTTTATTGTACAAAAAGACTAATTTGGGGCAAATTGGTAAATAGTATAGACTAAATTACGAATCCGTACAATAGTTCAGGGACTAAATTGGGGGTTTAACCAAAAATTAAAGTTTTTGCATTACTTTTTTCTCTTTTTTTTTTTTTTTTCAAATTTGTAGTGTTAATTTTTTGTGTCATTTTTTTGTTACGTCTCATGATAATGAGCTATGCAACACGAACACAAATAAAGCTGAGATTCTCTCTTTGAGTTTCCCTTTCACTTTTGAGTTTCTTCCTCTTTTAGTGGATTTTGACTTGACTCTCTTGATTTATTTTCATCAGAATTTTTCTATGGTGAAAGAGGAAGACAAAATGAATATGAGGCCAGCTAGGCTTGAACTGGTAGTGGTGTTTGCTTTAACTATCGACAACATGATTGAGGGGTGTGATCCTTGGCTAATCTTTATGCCCTTGGAAGTTGGAGTATTAGATATGACTTCTCATATGCTTTGGATGTACATTTAGGTAGTCCTCATAGGTCTGTTACCCTAAAGTGATTGCTTATGCAATCTATACTAATTGATGACTTTATGTACCTAATTATCCATATCTGTCATAGGTAAAAATGAACTTATTACTAGTGTTCTCTCTTCTATGTTAATAGTTAGATAAGATAAAAAGATGTGACATTAATAACTGAGAGTGTGACAATAGTATTACTCTAAGATAATTAAGGCCAACTTGAGATGTGACTGTTTAATATCTGTAAGAATAGAACATAAGATGACTAAATAAAAATATCACAATTAATAAGTGGAACAATTATAAATAAAAACTCATATTAATTGGTTTGGTATTTCCTTAGAGACATTTCACTTAGGTTAAACGCTAAAAGCCTAAAATTAGTTCATAAACTTTTAATTTGGAAAAATTTTACTCCCTAAGCTATTTTTTTGCACCATTCTTGTCCTTCAATTATGAAAAAAGCTCCTTCCTTTTTTTCTTTTTTTTTGTCATTCTTTTAGTTTTATCCATTGAGCATGTATAGGTGGGACTTTTTGGTCCTTGAACTTTTATTTTATGTATATTTTTTCCCTAAATTATTATTTATTGCACATATTTAGCTCCTGAACTTTTTGCTTTATACACATTTAAGTCATTAAAGGAAATTAAAAAAAAAAATGCCATCTAGATGACTTAACTCACAAAACTGATAAAATAACAAATATATATATATATTTTTCATAGTTGAGAAATAAAAATATGCAAAAAAAATTAAGAACTAAAATTATTCAAAATTAAAACTTTAGGGACTAAATTTGACATTTAACCTTTCATTTAAATTATATCTAGTCAAAATTTGTGTTTACTGGCGATGAGTAGGTTAGTCTTTAATGATAAACTAAAAGTATCGTTGCTGATGTAGTATAGATGCTATTAATTTATTTTGATTGGAAAATGTAATTTATTATAGATGCCAATAATTGAAGTATAAAAATTAATATAGATTTTGTAAAAGAAATATTAATAAGCAAAATAGTAAAAGTAAAAGAATATTGTGGAAAATTTTTCCTCATATTTCATATTATCTTTTTTTTTTTTTCTAAATCATATTATCTTTTTTTTCTCTTGTCTTTCTCATTGTCACCAAAAATAAACTTCAATGGTCAAAATATAGAAAAATAAACTAAAATTCTATGAAATTAAAAAAATGGCTGGCCAAAAAAAATATATGGATGGAAATGATAAAAATAAATTTTAATGGACTACTCAAAATTTTTTTCAAAAGATTATAAGGGTCTATAGCTACTAGTGAATTCAGGAAACTGTTATCCTTTATTTTATAGAAGATTATCATTATTATTTTTTGGTATTTATGGTTCGAATATCTCTTGATTAGTTTTTATGTACTTTGAAATCAGTTTTTTCTTAAGTGATCTTAAGGCACACATCTTATATTGATTTCAAAACTTAAATATTGAATTTAATTTACAAAATAGTATTTTTTTGGGGAAGCAACAGAAGATAACATCATGGTGATTAAAAGTATAATGAGGACTTTTGAGCTGATCTCTGGATTGAAAATTAATCTACATAAGAGCCAACTTATGGGCATCAGTGTCGAAGACGGCTGGGGAAGCAAAATGGCCTATAGATTATGCTGCAAAAAAGGGGAATTTCCATTTAAATACCTGGGAATCCCCATCGGGGGAAGCCATAGAAGGCTCTCAATGTGGCAGCCCTTGCTGGAGTCTTTTAAAAAGAAGTTGTCAAGCTGGAAGGGTCGGCAGCTTTCTCTTGGGGGTCGAATCACGCTCATTAATTCTGTGTTATCCAGTCTGCTTGTGTTCTTAATGTCCGTATACCGTCTCCCAAAAGGTACTCTCAAAGCTATTGATAAAATTCGAAAGAGTTTCCTATGGGGTGGGGAGGGAGAAAGGAAAAGAATTAATTGGGTCAATTGGAAGAAGGTTTGCTTGCCGAAAGAGGCTGGTGGGTTGGGAGTGAGAGATCTAGGGAATTTCAACCGGTCATTGATGGGTAAATGGTGGGGGAGGTTAGCAGTAAAGGAGGAAGGATTATGGAGGAGAGTGATTGCAAGCAAATATAGTGAGGGAGGAGGGCACTGGATGGATTGGGTTAGGAACGGTGTAGGAGCTTGCTCTTCTTGGTGGAGAGATGTCAGAGGGATTAATAAAGAAGAGGGGGAAACTTCAGGGTGGTTAACAGAGGGTTTTAGATTGAAGTTAGGAGAAGGGAAGGATGCAAGCTTTTGGTGGGATGAGTGGTGTGGGGAGATTTGTCTAGCCAACAAATTCCCAAGATTGTATCTCTTATCTGCAGGAAAGGAGAAAGACTGCAGCCAAATGGGAACTATGTGCAATGGAACTTGGAAATGGAATCCTACATGGAGAAGAAAGTTGCTCGAAAGGGAAGAAGAGGCTGTAACGGAGCTCAGTACGTTGATTGAGGGTGTGAAAATATCTCCTGGCCGGCCTGATGAATGGGAGTGGCTTCACAGCAAGGATTCCCGTTACTCAACCAAATCAGCGTACTCACTCCTGACAAAGGTGCCGAGGTGTCCGAATCAAGAAAAAGTCTTCAGGAGAGTATGGAACCCCAACCTACCTAACAAGATCTCTGCTTTCAACTGGCAACTGCTGCTCAATAGACTTCCAACCAAATCCAACCTGTTGAAAAGAGGTCTTGGCGCAACAATGGGTGATGGCATTTGCAACCTGTGTCAAGAAGAAGAAGAAGAAGATGCAACCCATCTGTTCCTGAAATGCAAAAAGGTAAGATGGATATGGAAGGAGTGTGCTAAGTGGTGGGGGATCAATATAGAGACTCAAGCGGACTGCTGGAAGACTTTTGAACATCCTGGGGCATGGTCCAGAAACATGAGGATCAGGAAAGGATGGGATTGCACCTGGAGCGCAGTAGTATGGTACATTTGGCTGATGAGGAATCAAAGGATCTTCCAGAACCTTGAGATGAACCCGGGTAAGCTATTCGAACTGGTTCAAGTACGATCGTTCTTATGGATTAAAGCAAAAAAAGCCTGGTGTTACTTTACTCTTTTAGACTGGTTAAGCAACCCTATTGCATGCCTCACTGTGAATTGTGGTGGGAATCGCTAGGGAGAAATAGTTTGAAAGATGGAATTAACATTAAGTGGCTGGATTTTGTGTTGTTTTGTGTAAATGCATGGGTTGAGTACCCCTTGTACTCATTATCAATAAAGTTTTGCTGTTCAAAAAAAAAAATTTACAAAATAATATTTATTTATCAATAAATATAAATTTT